CACTGATGGTGCTTATCGTGCTGCAATCAATCTCGCCTGTTGTCGTGGACTTATTAGGGATGGGGATGGTACTTGCATGAGAAGCTTCAACAGGAAGATTGACAGATGTTATGTTCTTCAGGTCGAGCTTTAGGGTGCTTTCGATGGCCTTCAACTCACTTGAAATGTTGGGTTCTATAGTATTATTCTAGAAATACATAGCATTCTGGCGGTGCAGTTACTTACTAAGGAGGATTACGACGCACATGCTGCCCTCATTCTGAGATCAAGCACTTGCTATTGCAGGATTGGCAAGTCAGGATCCAATATGTCTATCATTAAGAAAATAAATACGCTGACTGGTTGGAAAATGTTGGCTTCTCTCTACTGATGGCCCTCCATTCTCATGTTCAAGTGTCGAATGATCTCTAACAACTCCTCACTGATGATATCATAGGTGTCTCTTGATCTCGGATGTGCATGACGATTTCTTAATTTTTTTCTTTTTGTGTATGCCTCTCTTTGAACCAAAAAAAAAACTACACAAATGGAGACGAGGTAGTAGAAGAAACTCTGAAACCAATGCAGGCTACCGATCTCACTCTTCCACCTTTGCTTCATTCGACAGCCACTACCACTGGACAAATGAGAAGAGGAAGAGACGATAGTGATCAGGTTCTTTAATAGTGTTTATATATATATATATATAATATTCTTTAGATTATGACGCTATTTTTTATATTTAATTTGTAATTTAATTAATTAAAAATATAAGTAAATAAATTTAATTATTATTGTAGATAATTTTTACAATGCTAAATATATCATTAATTATAAAAATTTATTAAAAAAAAGGAAAGAAAATTTGAAGGTAGAGATTTTATTTCAACAAGAAAACAAAATTGCAGAGGTTGCTGTGCTTAATTTTAAAATATAGTATAGGGATTTCTAAAGTATAATCCCTTTAAAATTTGATATTTACGTGATTATATTGTTGTTCACATATATATTCATCTAATAATATTAGATAAATCGTTAATAATAAATATTTGTTCTAAAAAAATTTAAAAATACATATTTTATTTGAAAACAAAAGTATTTTAAGGCAGATTTGAAGATTTTGATAAATAAAGAAAATTTTAAAGTATATATTTAATTGATTTATATTCATTACATTAAAATTTTATGAAAAGCTAAGTTGGATTTAATTGGTAGATTTTGTATATGTCTAATTGATTTATATATAGACATGAGTTAGTGTATTTTGAACCCACTATTCAAATAGTAAAAAAAATGTAAACCTTTGAATTTAATAGTATATATAGCAGTTAATTTATAATTTTAAATATGCTGATAATTTATTAAATAAATTAAAAAAATTTAGAATAAAAAATATTGAAGAAAAGAAAGAGTACCCAGCAGAGTTTTCTTTTTCCTTTTTTTTTTAATTTGTTAGAGAAAATTCACGTAGTATAGTTGAAGTCATGGTACATAGTACCCATGACAGCTCGCTAAAGAGAGAGTGATAAATGCAGTGTATGTAACGACTCGGAACTTGAAATGAAATAAAATCATAAATTGAATGCGGAAATGAAATAATAGAGTTAGGGTTTACATTCCTTACACAATAGTTTATAATACCAAATAGGGTTATAGGAATGATCATTCTAAAAGAACAAACGAAAAATCAAGAAATAAATGAAAAATAAACAATTAGTTATCCTATAACGACCTTCACTAACCTTTAAAGGGAGTTCAGGTTGTGAACTATTCACAACCCCCTTATTGATCGGGATCTGGATCTTGGTCCTCTTGATCTGAAATGATTAATGAAATTGTGAGTTACACTAAACTAGTAAGAATATCACACTACTCATCGATACAGAAATGAAGGTTGGTAAAAATCATAAAAACAATTAATAGAGCTTTTAAATTAAGTAAATTCATTTATTATAAATAAAATTATTTATTGTATATTTACCGTAACGAAATTTTCAAAACCGACTTATACAGATAATAACATAAACAACATCATAATCTCATATTCAATTAACTAGAACAATAACTTTCTCTTTTTATTTGTTTTCTGGTATTCCTATGGGTCAATAGGGATGTTCCACTATGCGTGAATCCATAACAAAACTTGTAAACTAACTAGCTGTCCCATACCTGGACTGGTATGAGCGCCAAAAGTACTATCCCTCAATATCCCATCCAGTATAAGGTAACGTTCACGATAGAGTTTCCTACGTGCCCGGTCCGTCCACCATCTCCCAGGATATCCAATAAAACAACCGTTTCATTAGTTCACTTAACCAAATAATTTTTTGTTTATATTTAATTTTCAGTTTCACAATTTAACTGTAAATCATGCAAGATAAACAATACATGCATCAAGAAAATATAACTGAATCATTTTACCAATTTCAGTGTATTATCATGCATTTAAAACTGTAAAATCAAACAATCAGTTAAAATAGGACAAACAGTAATAAATAATCAGTTCCAGCTCCATTAGTAATTTATAATTAATTATCGAAGTTTTTTAAACTATGCAATATACTGTATTATTTATAATTAGATTTCAATTCTATAACAAAAAATAAGGTGATGGATTCTTACCCGAATCGGTGTCCGAAACGCTAAATTTTCAGCTGCGTCCACTGGCGATCCTCGGGTTTCCTAAATTTTTCTGTGGAGATTGAAACATGCTTCACTTACCTAAAAATACCCTAAAAAATCTAAAATTGATATTAAAAACCTTTTTCGGCCAATTTCAGAATTTCAACACGGCGACACTACCGTTCTTCAGCGATGGCACCGCCGTCCGCAGTGGCGATTTGCCTCGGTGTGGTCATTTTCGGCCAATTTTGGTCAGTTTTGGCCAAGTTTATACACATCCTTGCGAGAAAATACGTTAGGGAGTTTCGGTTGGCCGAAAAAAATCGAAAAATAAAAACTTACCGACAGCAGAATTTTCTGATGCGGCGGCTACACCGGCTTACCTTCGCGGTTGGGCTTTTTTTTTCGGTCAACCTACAGAAAAAAAAACCGTGAACACAATTGTGAAAAATCGCAAGAAATAGGAATTGAGAAGGGGTTCATAGGAGGCAATTTTTTATTTTTCCCGCAGCGGCGCCATCGAGTTTTACCCGCGATTTTTGGCTCATCTGCCAATTCTTTTGCTCTGATTTGGCCATAGAGATGTTCAAAATTAAATTTTGAGTGAATTAGAGAATTTTTACCTTTTTTGGCAATCGGAGGTGGTTCCGGCGCGGTGGGGGGCGGCGGTTGACTCTATTCTCCGACGACTGGTTCTTCTTCTCCGGTGGGGGGCTTGCAGTTAGGGTTTGAATTCAGTGTGAAATGAGATATTTATACCCATCCTTCTTAAATTTGGGTCGTTCATCGCATTTGATCTCGGCCGTCAGATCGCATTTAAAAATAAAATGAATCTGAACCGTTTATTGTAATTTGATCTGAACCGTACGATCGCATTTAAAGAATGAACTGATATGGACCGTCATCGCGTTTAATCTCGACCGTCCGATCGCACCTGAGGAGAGAACGGATCCGGACCGTCTACACCTGCATGAACGCATTCGGGCCATCCGATCACGGGTAGACAGATTGCCAGCGTGACCTCCCTCGTGATATCGAGTCAGTGTGTCTTACCACGCGGCACGCTCTGGTTCGTCGGGACTGCTGACTAGGCGGTCCTACGTGACGTATTTTTTTAATTATGTTTTAACTCCCAATTTCTGATTTTTCTTTCAAAAATATCTCCAAAATCCAAATTTTTATTCATTTTTCTCAAAATTATTTTCAATTTCATCCTCCACCTATTTTTTTTCCTAATTTTATATTAAATAAAAATTTATAAATTTAAAATTTATATTTTTATATATTTTTTTTAATTTTAAAATTAATTTCGAGTCAAATTTTGGACCCGAAGATTACAGTGTATATATATGTTTTTCTTCATAAACATATATATATTTATATGTTTATAAAGTTATATCAGTATATATATATATATATATTTATATATGTTTCTAAAGTTTTGTTCTACGTAGTAATTTTGAAAAGTAAAAATAGAAGATGAGGGGTAAGAGCTGATGGGAGTGTGGATTAATTGGCAGATGTCCCTTTGCCTGCTCAAGCATTGAATGTTTTTGGCAATACTAAGGTGCATGGACAGGTCATGCCTGCAACTCCTATATATTCTCTAACCCATCTCCATCTCCTCTCTTTTTCATCTCCATTCTTTTTTCAAAAAAATACATATATATATATATATATATTCATTTTTCATATTTATTTAGTTATATCTCAGTTTTATTGTTGACGTGTCTTAATTCTATAGATATTTTTTTTATATCATGGATAATATATTATATATATTTTGAGGAATATTTTATATTTATTGTAAAAAATATTTTGTGTATATTTTAAATAATATTTTAAAAAGAAAAACACTCGTAATTTTTTTATATAAAAAT